TGACAATTTAGTCTTTAAATCTTAATACTAAAAAAATTTATTCTTTTAGTTTTTCTTAGTTTTGTTTCTTTTCTCCACCTTTTTTTTCTTATGTTATTAGTTTCTACTCCAACAACTATTGCATCTCCTCCATGAGTCCTTTTCCTACGAGTCAATATTTCTAATAATTCAAACGTTTGATTGTTTTAGAAATAAAAATCAATATGACTATTTTTTTTAACTTAAAAACTATTCTAGTGATTGACAATTATATACATTAACATTTTCAACTTTAGTAATAATAGTAGTAAGAGACTATTATAATAATAATAATAATAATAATAATAATAATTAAAAATATGACTATGATTGTCATAATAGTTATAATAATATTAATATAGATTGGTAATAATGATAATAATGAAAGTTTAGATCGATAATAATAATTGTAATGATTATAATAAGAATAACAAAAATTTTAATAACATTAATAACAATATAATTGATAAAAAAAATTAAAGTTAGAGTTAGAAATATAAAAAAATATAGTTGTACTTTAGTTTCATAAAAAATTGAACTTTTAAATTATAAATTTCAATTATAAAAGAACTTCCCACCATCGTAATAAAAATGTTTCAAATGTAATTTTAACTATAATTTCATACATAATTTGATTTGTAAAACAAACACCTAATGTGCATTTAATTGTAAAAATGTTTGTAAGCTTTTTTCTTTTTTCTTTTTTCTTTTTTTACTTTGTTGTAGTATGCTGAAGTCCTTTCATATATATTAAAAGATCGACTTATCATAAACACTCTTAGAATTCATCTTTTCTTGGAATATCTCTTTTTTGTCTTAGCTCTTTTGTTATATATTTTTGTATACGCAATTCAACAGTAGTAATTAACGAGTTCAAATTAAAAAAGTCCATTTGATGTAAAGACCTTGGCAAAATATATTTGTGTTTCGAATATATTATTATTATTATTATCTAAGAAAGGTACATTCTAAAATGAAGAAAAACTAATATCGTTTTTAATTTGGAACGGCACAAGCTCTTTATTATTTTGTTATATGTTGGCGTAAAACTATAGTCACATGGATGAATTTAAATGGGTTTACGGGAAGATTTAAATATAGGGTGGCCTTGTCCCCTTTTTTACCATCATTTGATGAAGCCAAAATCAGGATATCTGACAGATTTAGAGTTCAAACAGAAATCTGGGAAAGGACGGGCAAAAGTGTGCAAAAGACAGAAGAAGGCCACAGTTGAGTTATGCCATCACATGAGATGGGTCCCTCAACAGCAACATGTGCATAAAAATTTATGGTCTTCTACCCATCATAACAACTTGGAAATATCTATGTGCTTCTTCCCTGAACAGCAGAACTTGACACTTGTCCATTCTTAGAAACAATTTGAAGGTAAAAGTTGCTTTAACCAGCCACCAACATAATTGGCCAATGCTGAATTTACATCAAAGGAAAGGGAGAAAAAGCAAGGAAGAACACAGGAAAGGAGAAAAAGATAAAGTTGGGTACCTTTATTTTGTCTTTCTAATTTTGGATTCTATTGGCAAATGTTTTGGACTACACTGACAATTATTCGAGTTTATCTGCACAAGTGATTAAGTGAAGGCCACCAACTAATGGACATAATAGTTCCACCCACACCACCGTGTCAATCCTTCACAACTAAACTTTTATTATCAATAATATAAGTTATACTTGTTAATAACTTTATTAAATTATAATTTTATATTTTTATTTTTAATATAAATATTTTAATTATTAAATTTATTATACACTTATTTATTATAAATTTTTTATTAATAAAATACTTATTATTCATATAAGTGAATATATTTATTCATTTGATAAATAAGTCACAAATTTTTTATATATAATTATTTTTTAGTCTAAATGATTAATTATTTAATTTTAGAAAAATAAAGGGAGTATTATCCTGATCATCTAGATTAAATTTATTAACATTAAACAGCTATAAAAATAAAATAAAATAATTTTTTTATATTTTAGAAGCATATATTATGTTAATTTTGATATACCTAAATATGATATTAAATAGTTTTTAATTAATTTAAAATTTTATAAAAATAATTTATATGAAAGAAATTTTTAATTTAATAATTAATTTTAGAATAAAATTATATGATAAAAATTATTAAATTGTATAAGAATAATATAACTTAGATTAATGTATTTAATAATTTTATATTATTAATGAATCCAGCTTTCTGAAAGTAAAAGTTCTTTTTTGAACTCGTTCATTTGTTTTATTGCGGGGGTTAGAACTCTTCATAAACAAGAGTCAAGTAATTATATATTGTTTATTGTTTCAAATTGGATAATAACCCCGTTATTTAACTTTTAAGTATAATTGATTAGTAAAATAATCTTTAATATTTTGACTTTTGTTTTACACCACAGAAAATATAAAAGAGAAGAGTTGGCAACATACTATTTATATACAATTTTTTATTATTAATTAAAATTTATTAAAAGTTATAACTTAAGCTCATTAAATTAGGAATAAAATCTGTATAATTTTATAATTTTAAATAAATTTTAACTAAAATTAGTTAAAAAAATATGTTAAAAATTATATTAGGATTTCTCTAGTATAAAAGAATAAGCTATGTTTTCCGTTTTTGACAGAGCAATATGCTTCAACCTTTATCTGAAGTTTGATCAATCTTACCAGCTGTGACAACCTAAACAAATAAATCTTTAAATAAAGTTCCATGAGCTAAAACAAAGTACTTAGAGTACATTTTTTTTCTTTTAAAAATAATTTTGTTTTTTAAAATATATTATAAATTAATTAAACATGCCCTTAAAATTTCCTTTTCTAAATTAAGCTAAGAAAATAAAATACCATAATAAAAAAAATATAGAAAATGACAACGTCAACTGTTACAAATAATTAGATTTTGTTAAAAAAATATTAAAACCGAAATTTTAATATATTTTTAATTATTAATTAATTTTTTCAAAACAATTATAAAAGCACGTGAAAAAATAATTAACTTCAAAATAAAAAAAATGAAATACGCTGAATTTTTAATAAATTTTAATCAATGATAAAAGTGTATTATTTATATTAATATTTTATTAAATTATAATGGATATAATTTTCTATAAGAAAAGTTAAGTTCGTTCTCTTTATCTATTTTAAAATTTTTTTAGTTAAGATTTATTATTATTTACTTTGCTTTCTGGTTTCTCTATTTCTATTTCGTTTCTTAGACCAAACAAAGTGGTAGTTCTATTTAAATGCAAGAGTTATGTTATTTCTTCTTTGTCTCTTAAAATCTGGTTTCTTTCCAAAATGAAAAGTATAGAAGTTTAATAATGATTACACAGGAGTTAGGATCCTCTTTATTAGAAGATAACATTTTGTAAAATTTAAGTCTTTGTTTTTTAATGAACAAGTCAGTAAATAGAGTTGTTTATTTGTTTTTTGTTTTTTTTATTCTGGACCACCAAAGATGATAACTAGGAAAGAAGAAAAATAAGCGATCCAACACATTAAAAACTGTTTGATTTCAAGAATTTTTAAAATTTTTAATTTTAATTATAAAAATGTCATTATTTTTATTCTATTTTTAAAAAATCAATACAAAAAAATAAAAAATTAAATTATTTTCAATATTTTCTGTATAAATCTTTAAAAATTTAAAAATACAAACAGTATGAAAATTTGTAATTAAAATTAAAATTAATAAAAGACAGGAAACGTTCAATAACTCAACAGTCCCTTAATATCTTGATTGGTCCAACCGTTCAACATTATTTTGAATGTCTATGAAATTTAGTGCATTTTTAGTCCGTTAGGTTTATTTCATGATTATTTAATTTTACTAAAAAAACTTACCGAAAAGTAGGAGGAAAGTGAAGTTATAGGAGTGTAGCACCAGTAATGGTACATCCCACTAACTGATTAGTTGGCATATTGCAGCATCAAAGACCTAACTTTCCGTTACTGTGTCTACCAAGAGTGACAATGACGTTGATCTATAGATGCCAAAAAGCATGCAAGTTTATTAACTCTCTCTTTGGGGTTCTTTGAATTAGAGTAAAAGAAAGTACACCCTTCAAATTTCCATTTTTATAATCTTCATAAAGTGCCATCCATTAATTTTACTGGCTTTCCTTTTCTTTATGTATTAAATATCCAAAAAAAAAACGAAAGAGAAATTCATATTTTCTCATTTCTATAATCTCATTAAAATATTTTAATTTGAGTAAAAAGTATAAGTAGCTTAAATTTTAATAAAAATGAACCAATTTTAAAAATAAAAAATTATTTTAAAACAAATAATTAATAAAAATTCATGATGAAGCTTTAAATTTTGAAATTTGAGATTTTAACACAAAATTAACATTTGAAAATAATTAATAATTTGAGAATGTTTTAAACATTTAAAAAGTCATAATCAACAGTAAAATTACATGTCAGAAAAAGAGAAAGATTATACTAAAATAATCCTCCGCAGTCTCCACTAAAGGCAGAATGGTGAGGATATTTTTTAGTATAATCTTTTTAATGAAGATAAAGTAAATGATTTTTAATACTGCCTATTTAAATTACCAATTTTTCTAAATACTTCCAATCAAAATATTTCTAAGAGTATTTTTAAAAAAAATTCATTTCTCTGCAAAAACATTTAGGAAATATTTTGTAGCTTTAGCCGTATAATTTTACCCCTCTCCTGAAGACATCATAGTTAAATCAAAATTGTTTCTTTTTTATTTCTAGTATGTAGTGTAAATTTGGATTTTTTTGTATATATATATATAGGGGTTGCATAACATGATGGTACCCATCTCCACACATAAGGGTAAGCGGCGGAATTTGACTGTAACCGTGCAATAAAACATGAAACCTACTACTACTAGATATTGGTAGGTAGAGTGCATATACGAGTTGATATTTGTGGACGTGTAAGTAGTGTTATTTTGCATGATTGAAGGGGAAAAAGAAAGAAAGAAGGATACATAAATATCATTATCCTTTGGGACTAACATTATTAAAGTAGAGAATCTCCAAAAAAAGTAACAACAGGATTCCAATGAAGCTTTGCAAATTTATTCTAAACCATTGGATTTTAGTCTAAGAATCTCCTTTCCTTTCTCATTTCTCCTTCTAGTTTTCCTTGTCTCACATATATATAGATATATCTGTACATGAAGATATTTACTCAACAATGATCTAAATCTGCAGCAAAAACACCTGTTCACTCTGACAGGCTCAAGATGGCAGCTAGGGAAGCTTAAGTACAACACTGAAGTCCTAGGAATCCTGCATTGAGGTTGGTCAAGAAAACAACTTCTAGTGGAAAAACAAGAACTTGTCAGCAAAATGAGGTTGCACTGGTATAAATAACCTCAACTTTCATTAAGCACAATGAGATTCTGATGTGGCTCACTGTGATTTCCATTTAGGTCCGTTCATGGAAGCTAAGAGACCGCGATAAAGCCGCAGGGTTGGCTTGCAAAACTGGTGATGTTTCAACCATGTGATTCATGTCATTTCTCTTGGATGAAAATGCTTTGAATAGACCTCCTCCACTGAGAGAATTTGCCTTGTCATTCTTGACCCCTAGCTTTGACCAAATGGAACTGTTTGCAGCTTCACTAGGGTCATCAATTCTAAGAGTCTTGGGGATCATGGCATTGTTTTCTGAAGTGTTATGTTCTATGTCAAGCTTTTCTTCTTGTGAGTTAGCTAGGGTGATTATGTTCCCATCCCTCGAGTGTTTCCCCAAAGTAGTTGAATTGGTGCCAGAGCTAGTGGCAGAGATAGAGTGGTTAACAGAAGATTGGGGTGAGATACATGATATATTCCAAGAGGGTGGCATACAACCCCAATATGCAGGTGTGGTATAGAAAGATAAAGGATAGCCTGGTGGGCAAAATGTAGGAGGAGGCATTGTAGAATTCCAAGGATAAGGCCAAGGGGAATTTGGGAAGTATGGTAATTGAGGAGTAAAACCTTCAACCCTTTTATCCACTGATTCACGTGATCCAGTAGAGTGATCACCCCCCTCATCTTCCTTACTATGAGAAGCAACAAAAGTATTTGGTTCTGTTGCATGAAACCCATTTGGAACACAATTTTGTGTTCTCTCAGCAATGTTCAATACAGAAGCCATGGTATCACAAAGTGGAGAGTCTGGACCAAAAGTCAAGACAGCTGCTCCATTTCCTAAAACAGAATTATGCAAGCCATTGGGTGCATTGAGTTTAACTCCTTGGAGTGCCTCTGGAACCATTATGTGCCGGTAATGTGATGCCGAAGTGTTTTTGTTCTTGCGGCGACCAGCTCCCACAGGCACATTTCTCATTGTTCCTCCTGCAGTCCAATATCTTTGACAGTTCTTGCAGAAATGGCGGGGTTGCTTGACATTGTAATTGTTGTAGTAACAGAATTTGGTATCCATGCTATTGCATCGTGGGCATGGAATTACCTTGTCAGGTTTCTTTGGAGTTTTTTCTTCAGAAGCACTAGTTTCACTTTGTTCTCCATTTGTAGAGGATTTCAGTAACGATGTCTCAGTGTCAGCGGAGGGTGTCTTAGGATTCTCACATATGCCTGAAGATGTTGTGGGAGATTTTAAATCCTCTGTGGTTTGATGTGAGGCATCATCATCTTGTACTGAGGTGAGTTCTTTCCTTGATGGTTCCTAAAACAATGAACATTGATCAAGGTTAGAATTACTAATTTATTATAGCTGCAAAGTAAAGAATAACTCTGAATCCTCTGCTTACAAATCCTCCTAATTACTAAGCTAAGATATTATTAAATGTATTCCATGTTTTCAAGATAATGAATACATGCACTTTTTCATTGAGAATTATCAAGAAAATACGTAGGAAGACATAACAAATAAAAATCTCAGTACAAGAAAAGAAAATAATAATACAAAATATAAAATTATATGGGTATCTATCGTTTAAATACAGAGCATATATATTACCAATATAGAATATTGATATGTTACGACATACAATTTTGTGCTAAGCATGTTATGACAAAGTAGAAACATAAGGATTAGACAGCCATTGTTGTCAAAATTGATTGCTTTTCTCTGATTAAATATATCTTGGAAATTTCAAGCGCAAAGTAGGGGGGCTAGTGAATTCACACCACGGAAAACGGGGGAGAAATTATTTATCCTTTCACGTCAAGGAAGTTACAGTACTTTTTAAAGAATGAAAACGTTCATGTGATAGTCCACAGTGCATACTCAATAGAAAAATTCATCACGAAAGTCCCCTTGCGATTTCTTAAGGAAAGCTATAGAAGCAAAACCGAATCACAATTCTAGAAGTACAAAGTAGGAGAATTTTATGCCAAATATGCATGAATAAAAAGTACAGAATGCTCTGGAATACAAGGGGAGAAAGAAAACAAGAGTATAAAACAGTAGGAAAATTAATAAAACCAAAATATTCTATAAATAAATCCTCCCTGATGTCAACACGTTACAGGTCATTTAGATAATTGTCATTGAATAAGGCCTTGAATATGGACAAAAATGTCAATCTAAAATAGTTAAGCTCAAATTGAAGTCCATGGCGTGAAAAGCAACTTGATAAAGGTTTAGTAAAGCATGAAATCTAACAAGAAATCTTCAAGCCAAGGAAATAGCAATAGAATCTCCGTGATGCTGCAAGAGATCCAATATGAAACGAACATAGAAAAGAAGCTTTTTTCTTTTCCTACCGAATTTTCCGTTGAACTTGCTAATCAACCGATTCAGGACTGTATTTTCTAAATATGAATCATTGGAATAAGAAAACTCACTTTGGAGCATCAAACTGATTTCATTGACTCACAAACAGAATTGCTTAAACCAAAGCAAAAGCAAGCCAAACCACATAATATATTCTATGCCATATTCCTGTGCTCGTACTCCTAATTGGAGATTCGATCCAATTTCGCTGAAAGGAACCCCACAATGAATTCTCGCCACCACTTAATAAAGGATTGAATAAATTCATTAATCAATATCCATCTGTCATCATTCCAGACACTTATTATGTTTTTTTTTAACAATAAAAAAAAAAAAAAAAACTCAAGATAGCCATAGAAAAATTCAGCAAGGCCTCAATTCAATGGAAACCAAGCCAAGAACAAAACTTTTCCAAGATTTGACAGAACCCGTTAACAATTGAGAGGTTCTGAAAAATGGGTCGCTGTTAGATTCGGAAATCAACAGGGGTTATTCACAAACTTATGGCGCATACCTCTGCTTGGTGGTGTGTTGCAGAGCTCACTTCACGGGGAGAAGAGGAAGAAGAAGGACATGTGACAGGTGCGGGTGCAGGAGAATCACTAGGGGTGCGTGGCAGAGAAATTGTCCTCCCAAAAAGCTTTATCGCTGGGTCTTTAACCTCTGACATTCCTGTGGTATGTAGCCGCTGATCAGGTTCACGTTCAGGTTCAGGTTCAGGTTCAGGAATATCTCTCTTGCTTGCTCCTTCTCTTACTAGAAAAATGGGGAAAGTAAAGAGGAAAAAAATATATACACAAGTACATATAGATAGATATATAGAAGTTTTTGTAGTGTTCAGTAACTTTTGTGTCTTTTGCTCTGTTAATAATTCATATGAAAACGGGTAATGAATAGTGATGGAGCAGAGAGAGAGAGGGAGAGAGAGAATAAGAAGGGATAGGGGAAGTGGTTTGTTTTTACGAGGGGGTGAAGAAAATTGTTGCCACTTCAGCAAAGGGAAAATTTTGTGAGCCACAAGTTCTTGTGGCCTATGAGATCTTTGTGTGCTGTTGGATTCCTCTGCATTGCTTGTAAAGATAGTGCTGTTCTGTCCCACCCTTTTTCATCCCCGTCAGCACTTTCATTTTTGGCCTTTTCGTCATTCAATCTTCTCTCAACTCTTGCTTCCTACCTAGTCAAAAATGCCTCCCACTTTCCATTTTTGACCCTCATCTCTTTTCTTTCGTTGCCAATTTTATCCTTTGAGTCCTTCATTTTTAAATATGTTTATAATATTTAAATTATTATTTTATAGGTTTTGTAAGAGATTATTTTTAATTCCTACATTTAATAAAGATGACATAATATTTAAGTAAATCTTTATAGAAAGTAAAAATAGAAAAAAAAAAGTCATGTTTTTAAATGTTAACAATGCATTTAAGATTTTTTTTTCAAATCTTATTTTGTTAAAAAAATGTTAGACTTCGACTATTAAAAAAAAAACTTTTGATACTAATAGGCCAATAATAATAATAATAATAAATTATTGATGTATTTTTCACTTATTTTTAAAAAATATTACAAATTAAGCTTTTCGTTAGACTTACAAACGAGCGTACTTTAAAAATATAGGTTAAAGTTTAAAAAATACTCATAATAAATGAAAAAGTTAAACTTAAAATTTTAATTATTTTTTTCATTTAATTTAAAATAGCATTTATGCCCTGCTTGCTTTTTCAAGACATTATTTTAAAGGATGATTTTCTATTCTAATAGTCTAACCAAATTCATAATACAAGATTTATTTTACTATTTCATCCTTATAATTAAGTTTCATTGTATTATCCAACTTAAAAAAAGGATATTTTTTAACCATTTTTCTTTTCTCAAATAAAATTCTTTGAAATTTTTTGAATTTCTTCAAAGATAACACAGAAAAAATGAAAATAGCTTTCCAAATCTCTTTCAACAATGTAATTTTACTTGTTAGGAACTTTAATTTAAAAATTATATCTATAAGATATTGAAAGTCTTGTTTCTGAGAGTTCTATGTTTAATTGGGATACTAATATACTTTCCACGTGTTAGGAGTAGGTTAAGAATTAATGTTTTTAAGAAATAAAAGGTACCTTAGTTTATTTATCTTAATCTTATTCATCATAAGTTTAACTAGATTGATTTGTTTTTAAAAAAATTATTTTAAAACAATCTAATCCCAATGAAAGCAATCTTCATTTCAAAAGAAGATTAAAATTTTTTTGAACAAATCTAATCTATTGTATGCTTTAATCTTCTACGTGCCTTTTGGAATACTAAAAAAAAACATATTGTTGACTTATGAAAGAATTTTAAAGAAAAACACATTTCTATTAAGACAAAGTTAATTTAAATAAATGAAAAAAAAATTTAGTATTATCAAATATAATACTAGCTCGCATTATATTAATAAATTTATAGTAGATCAAATATCATATCAATCACATTATTAATATTTCAAAACATATACTACAATTATGTCATTTAATATATTCTTACATTAATCAATATGTCATAATATCTACGTTCTAATCATATTAATTAATGCATTATAATACATGTAACATAATTACACTTGTCGATGTATTATAATATATGTATTATAATCATACCAATCAATCTATTATAATACATATTATAATCACACAATCACTGTGATATAACAAAGATATCAAAATTCCACATTTATTATCTTAGGATTCCTTGAAGTCTTTCATAAGTATAGATAGTCACTAGACAGATACAACATATACAATATAAGGCTTTTTTAACAAAAATATAGTCAGGAAATAAGTGTGAGGCCATGTGATGCATTCACTCCCAATAGATTGGGCACACATAAGTGAATGTCATTCATCACTCTATACTTCGTCCAGATTTTCACAATCGACTCCATATTTTATACTCTTAGTGTATCTCTGTAACTATCCATACATATTTTGTAAATTTTTCTTGACACATTTTCTTAGCAATTCTCAAATATTCACACCAATTCCTTTCATCACTTTTCACTAATAATACATTTTCCTTCGTCTCTTTCTCATCATTCAGTTAAATAAAATGTGCCTAAAGTCACACACATCAAAACTTAGTCCAAGTCACATATACATAATAAAATTACATTTCACCATTCAAGAATAATCAAACACTTTTCGTCAATCTTACACAAAATCCAAAATTCTCATTTAATTATATATATATATATATATATATATAAGACAAAAAACATTTCATCATACAATTAATACAATACGCCAATGGTCAAACATCTTTGGACTTAAACCAATCATACAATTTAAAATGCGATAAAACTAAACTATAGATACATTGTTAGAGATCACACTTTCTCGGTCTTAATGAAAATCACATATCCTAAATTGTAGTATTTTATATTTTCACGCTTTTAAACGTATGTTGTTCAAAATTAATAGTTCACTTGTATGATAATTAATAACAAAAATCATAAAAACTTCTTAAAACGTTGTTTTGCTCATAACCCTTACTATAAAATTTTGTTTTAGGTGAATCTTGAATTCAACCATAGGTTTTTATACCCAAAGAATCCATATTTGACATTATAATTTTATGAAAATATATAGATCTATTATTTCAAACATGGTATTTTCAGTTTTTCAAGATAAACATATAAATAAGACTTAAGGTTTTAGATCAACTCCCTTTACCTAAAAATAGGCTTTTTAAAATCAAAGAGATGAGAGACAATGTCTCTAAGGCCATGTTCTCCTCAAGATCCGAAAGAAGGTGTACCGTTTTGGTGTAAGATATCGTCCAAAGACCAAGATCTTCCTATATATTTAAAATGAAACACTTTTTAGAAGAGAAAAAAATGAAGAAATAGAAGTGAACTAAAAAGATTGAGCTCTAAAGAACTTACTTAAGATCAAGAGAAAAAGATATTCAAGCTCATATTTGAAAGAAGTTTGGAGAGTAATAAGGTTTTTTAGTTGGAGGAGGGATTGAGAGAACATAGAGGGATGATAATGGTTACTTGCTTTGACATCTATGTTTTTAGAATGCTAGAATCACTTAAATATCCCTTTTTCTCGATGATTTTTGCTTAAGCTAGAAAATTAAACAAAATTTACTACTCTTTTGCTAATATTTTTGCTTGAGAGAGAAATTTTTCGCTTGAGCAAAAATCTACCTGAGAGCTACTCATTTCTGTCACTTATTTTAACTTGAGCAAGAAATTTTTTGCTTAAGTTAAAAGGAATCTTTTTTTTTCTTAGAAAACTCTTCTATTTTGACTTATTATTATTTATTGTAGCTCATTTATAATGTTCCTAACATTGACTTCCTTAAGATGAAGTTGGTTATCCTTTGTAAGGGAACATTGAAGAGCCTTTAAGATGCAATTAACTTCTAAATATGTCTTTAAAAGCTTTAAAGATGTGTCTCTTTGTCAAAATATTAATTCATTAATAAAGACACATGGCAAAAGTTTGTAGAAACTCGAGTTGATCATGTTTTTCAAGTTAGTTGGACTTTTAACTACTCCACATTTTAAAATAATTTATTTCAATTTACTTAGTAATAATAGGAGAAAAGAGAAAAGACACAAGCAATTCAAGCAAATAATTGCTATCCCTTCAGATTGTCTTATGAGAGCTATAAGTTACTTGACAAGAGGATATTAGAAGAGAAGGTCAAAATTTGTCAAGTAGCCTCTCAATTTGACCCCTCTAGTGTTCTTTCACCTCCATCATCACCTACGCATCACAAGGAATGAAAGAAAATATGCCTAAAAAAATAAAGAGAGTACACCTTGAATAAAAGAGGCATTATTGGTAACAAAATTGTGAGTATTTAATGAAACCTTGGTAAATAATCAATTTAGTGTTACATTAATATTTTTTTATTAACAACTTATATGTTGTAGGATTTCTTATTAGAGTAGAGTTCACAAAAAATCTTTACACCTATTGAAGGTAATGACATTTTGTCTACTACTATTAGATAACCCGAGTTCGTGATTCTAGATGAGGTATGGACATTTGATACTCCCTCAATCCCATATTATGTGTCGTTTAAGGTTTTTTCCACACAAATTAAGAAATGCAATTAATTTCTTAATTTTCATTTCTAACTTCCTATTATACATCTATTACTTATTGATTAATTAATGACATATGATACTATAAACCTTAAATGTCACCCACCGATTTACAATGCTAATAAAACCTAAAATTTACTCCACTACTCAAATTGTCAAAGAGATAGAAAAGCGAAATGGTACCATATCCTCATCAATTTACTTCCTCTTTTAGCTGCTTACTATTACTACAATTTACGGTGATTTGGGCTTAAATATACTCTTTCCTTTTTATTTTTTAACTAGCGCTATACATATCCTCATTAAACAGTTTATTTGCCACAAAAAAAATTTTAATTTGAAATTTGTTTAAGGTTTGTGCTTCCGCCAAAATTTAAAGGTGACCACTAGGTAACCTCACTATATATTATTCTCCATCTACATTCACAAAATCAAAAGAGTCATTGTTCCTTTCAGCATGGGTTCAAAGCATAAGTTACCATTACTTGATTTAGATTTGAATGTTAAATTTACACATTCAGGTTTAAATATTGATGCACCAATTTACCAAAAAAATATTGTTGCACTAGAAAATTCAATTCCTGACATCAACGTTAACATTGTTGCAAGTTCTCCCTTGTCATCATCTCCAACTCAATTGGCGTTTGATTTGAATCAACTAGAAGATATAGAATCATCATCATGTCCAGATCAAATGGCATTTGATTTAAATCAACCTGATGTAAATGATGACATGTACAAAATTTTAGATGCTTTGTTCAAAGATTCTTCAAGTAATTATCTATTATTAAACTTAGCTAGAGAACCATCTATGGAGAATGATGCTGAAATTG